ATTGTTCACACATCTAAAACTTATATAGTGAAACACAACTTATAGTAAAACACATAAAATCCTTCTATTCCCAACAAAATGTTGCCAGCGACTCGCTCCGAAGTTGTCAAAATCCAGTGCTTGGGCAGTTAGTTGCGGTGTCAGACACAGACGAAAAAAAACGTCAATATGTGACAAAGTCAGAGTGAGAAACGTACAAATGTAATGTATCCGTGGTTTGCAGTAATGTACAATACCAACATTTTCTTCTGGCGGCTGGGCTGCCCGGTGTCCTCGGGTCCATGTCATTGGTTCGACAACCCATTGTTTCGACATCCCATTAGTCCGACTGTCCGCGGTGCTGAACGGCTCGCGGCGGGCGTATGGTGCGCCGCGACCAGCTCTGGGTCAGCTGGAAAAGGCTTGAGGCGGAGCAGGCTCACAGCTTATGTGTTTGTCACTTTCTTTTTCATTTTAACCCACACCATGATGTTTTCCTGACCCTAATCAAGTGGTTTTTGTGCCTAAACCTAACCAGACCTTAACCACAGGGCATCATGATGATTTCGGAAACGGACTTCGGAAAACAATGAGTTTAATATGGTCGGAACAATGGGATGTCGAACCAATGGGCTATCGAACCAATGGGCAGTTCCCGGTGTCCTCGTGGATAAGAGACATACCATCTACAGTAATGGTTGTTTCTCTTGCCAAAGACCTTTGTTGCATTTCATTCCCCTCTCTGCCCCCCACACGTTTCCTCTGAAACACCATTTTTATTGATATAATAAGATATTTTATTGATCCCAGTTGCTCTGTCTGTTGCAGGCTTGATGAAAAATCTGGATCATCCCCACATTGTGCGACTGATCGGAGTCATTGAGGTCGATCCTGTCTGGATCGTCATGGAGCTCTATGAGCATGGAGAGGTGTGTGTTTGCGTGTGTGTGAATGGCTGATTTGTACATTATTGTTGAAATTGTACAACTGTAAAGCTGAACTTGCAGCTCATCTGCTGAGTTTAGGTTTCACCAAAAGGTGAGATGCATGTGAATGCAAACTATATTGTATGAAGTGGGTGTGTTTGTTTCGCTGACAGCTGGGGAGCTATCTCCTGGAGGAGAAGTACATCCTGACCACGGCAACTTTAATCCTGTACTGTTTACAAATCTGCAAAGCCTTGGCTTACCTGGAGGGACTCAATATGGTGCACAGGTAATAGACTCATCAGAGAAAACCTAAAAACAGACACTCTGCTATTTTTAATGCCCGTGCATTTCATGATAGATAATAATCTGGTCTGGTTTCTGTTCTCTTCTTGTGCTGCAGAGATATAGCGGTGAGAAACATCTTGGTGGCTTCTCCCGAGTGCGTCAAGCTTGGTGACTTTGGTCTGTCTCGCTATGTTGACGAACAAGAGTATTACAAAGGTCTGTGGCCAACATTTTAGTGAAGCACAGTGTAGTGAAAACTCATTTCAGTGTTTACACTCATCTCTTCTTGCCTCTTTAAAGTACAGACAATTGTCCAATCTGTATTTGTGTCTGTTTCTTATCACATATGTCCCCTCTGTTTACAGCCTCAGTCAGTCGATTACCGATCAAATGGATGGCACCAGAGTCCATCAACTTCAGACGCTTCACCACAGCTAGCGATGTCTGGATGTTTGGTGAGAAACACACTTGTCTGCATGCACGTGTGAACATAAATATCAACTTATACTCAACCAGAGGAAGAAATGTGTGTGCAATATAAAGCAATTCATGATGTCAGATGTGCTTTAAATTTAGTTCTGCAATTGTGAAATGTGTCTGGTTTTCACTGAGACTGAGTCAGGCAGGGTCGAGTGACAATTGTTATTTTAGCTGGTTGTGTGTGTTCACCCAGGTGTGTGTGTATGGGAGATCTTCTCCATGGCCCAGCAGCCATTCTTCTGGCTGGAGAACGGGCAGGTGATCAACCAGCTGGAGTCTGGAGTTCGACTCCCTAAACCGCAGCAATGCCCGCCCCCGGTCTACTCCCTGCTCACCCGCTGCTGGTCCTACGAGCCGCACGGCAGGCCCACCTTCAGCCAGCTCGTCTGCTCCCTCAGGTACACACAGTGGTGGAAGAAGTATTCAGATCTTTAAAAGAAGTAAAAGAGTTATGAGTGAAAGTCCTGTATTACATTTAATATATTTTATTTTTAATTTTTTTTTAAATATACATAATAGTATGGAAGGAGAAGAAGTGTTTCTGCCTTAGCACTAGCAAAGCTCAAATGTTTTTTACATTCATGAATTACTCTGTCAGAATCAGCAGAGGGAGGTGCACAGAAAATACAGTTGCAGCATGTTTTATGCAGCACATTGCATCACCTAATGTTATCGTCACGCGTGGGGTAAACATGTTCAGAAAGTATATATTCATTCCAATCAGAGAAAAACAATGGGGTTAAGCATTTACATGGTTATGAGGGGCTAACAACCTACTAAAAATATGTTTTTATTGGTTAGAAATCATGTCAGTTAATACAGAAGTTTACCTTTAACAACATGTATGAAATCAAGATATAATTGTATTAACTGTAAATGTTATTTTTGCTCACACATTTGAAACGAGGACACCAGCACACACACTAACTGAAGTCTGTTTGTGTGTTTGACAGTGACATCCACAGGATGGAGTTGGAGCAGGGGTCAAGGCAAGACAGACGGCGCTCCACCGCATTGACATTTAACCCAAACCTCACCACAGAGCCTCCACCCAAGGTATGTCTAGATACCTGCCATGAGTGTACTGCAGTACTGCTGGTCGCAAGAGGTTTGATGGCCTAGTTAGCTAGCAAGCAGTTCCTTCAGCCCTCGTATTTGATGTATGATTTTTATGTTTTGGTATGTTGCAATTTTAAAATTGCCTGTTATTTTTCTAACGTGGATAAGAGAGACAACCAAACCACTTGTTTTGGCAGTAAATGCGGATCTCTGATTAATGAAATAATGATAAAATAGTAGCTAAGAGCTGTAGACTCCAATACGACCAGTACAGGCTGTGTTCACCCGATATCCCTCTATTAAATGACTTAAATTCCTCTTTTTCTCTTTCTTATAGCCATCCAGAGTACAAGGCAACACCCTTCCTCGAATCACAAACATACAGGTGTCCACATGCACACACACACTTAGGCTAATATGCTACAACGACACACACTGAGCTTCATATCTGACCAAATTTAGGTTTAACTGAACTGTGTCAACCCCCGCTGCGACTTTTTCTTCCCTTACAGAGAGGAAACACACTGTAATATTGAAAATTATACAGTGAAAGTCTGGCACGCAGTGGTTCTGTGTCAACATATTATACATACAATGTCTGAACCTCCCAAATGACATCAAAAAAGGGAAGGAAGTTTGTTGTTGAGTCATGTTCTGCAAAGCCAGCCGCAGCTCAACTTATAAGGCCAGTGTAAAGTCTGGATGATTAAGCAATAACATGGAAATAAACTGACTAAACTTTTTCAGTTCATACCCTAGAGAAAAAAAGTCTATTTTGATATGTAAAATAATTGATCACAAATCAAGTAAAAAAGCTACAAAAATCACACAAAGACAAAGAAATCCAAATAGGTCATACGAACTGCCAAGTTATATCGTCACAACTGTACCAAAGTGAAAATACTGACATTTAAAGGGTGTGTGTGTGTGTGTGTGTGTGTGTGTGTGTGTAGGGAAAAAACAGAGATACCCGGCCAGTGTGGGAGAAAGAGAAAGAGCAAGTGGAGGACATTTTACAAAGACAAAGAAGAGAGATGCTGATGGATAAACAGTGGCTGGAGCAAGAGGAGAGACAACTGGTGAGGGATCACACACACACACACAGATATCTTACCCTTGCACTGCTCAGCAAAGAATGCGCAGGGAGTAGTTTGTGGCCCCAGCAGTGTGATGAAATGACGGGAGTGATGCGTCTTGAAAGCGGAAGATCTTTGGCAAGCGCATGACATGTGAAGAAGAGAAATGATCGCTTCATCTACATTACGCAAACACAGTCATTGATCTTTGCTGCATTCACTGACATCTGCTTCTGTTTCTGTATTTTCTGTAGGACCTGGTTGTGCGAGTGGATACACACCTCAAGGTACAGCGATGTTGCTCTTGTGCTAATTTGAGACGTATATTAAAGCTGCATTAAGCACCTTTTGACCACTAGAGGGCAGAGACACACCTTATACTGCTATAAGTTAAACACAAGTGTTAAAGATGTAGTTTGGTCCACCAGCTCTGACCTGAGGTGATGTTTGAAACTCAAACTTATTAAAGTGATAAAGTCACATTCTCTTTTCTTGTTTCTCTTGCAGCCACCCAAAAAAAGCCCAGAAAATGGTGAGTCCAGATTAAGAAACCTCATTTCAGCTGAGCTCTTTGTGAATCAAGCTTTTCTTTCTCTTGTGCTCACAATGTTTTATCTGCAAAGGACCCTTTGATATCTGATATCAGACTTTTACAAGCAGAGTTACGGAACATAAATGGTCCCAAAATAATAATTACAGCATGAACAGTACGTTCAAAGACAAAAAGAAAGACTGTAAACAAGATTTTTAAGATTAAAGAATGCATTTTTTAGAACATATATTGTGGATAGAATATTCACACTCACACTCAAAGTCTTCTGATATGTCAAACATAAGTGCTGAAAATGTGTGGGTCAACAAAATTCTGTTTGTCAGGTCCTCCAGAGAAGCCACCAATGCCTCCCACAATCACACAGGTAAAATATACTTTGGTTTTGTTATGTCATTATGAAAATAATCATTAAAGCTGCAACAATGACGAGAAAAGTTCAACTGGTTTGCACATTTTTTGTACTGAAATTGAGCTGTGTGTTAAATTTGGTCATTGAAAAGTAAGTCTTGTGTTGTAGCCTCGGCCCACAGCTGAGCTGGACCGATCAGGTGACCAGGTTTACCTCGGCGTCATGGCGATGGTGAAACAGGTGGTCCAGCTGAAGAATGATGTCAACACACTGCCAGCCTCCGAGTATCCCAACGCTGTCAAAGTAGGTCGTTTGAGGAAGTTTCTGGTGCTAGACGAAAGGTCATGGACTAGGGTTGGGTACTGTTCACATTTAAACCCATAGTGGTACCAGTTACAGTACCTGGAATTCAGTTCTGGTACCCAAGTATACCCTTTTCAGTTCCTTACTTTCTCTGCTCTTTGATACTGAAATTTGGCACTGATAGATTTAACGTGAATTGGTACTTGGTAGTACCGATGTAATTTGGTTGGTACCCTTAAAAGTACCAAGTTTGGTACCTAAACATCTAATCATGGAGTGGCCAAAAAACTGAAAAGAACTTATGCTCTGGGGCGTTTACATCTATTTACTAAATGTAATTGCAACCTGATCATTACATTTTTATTTGTCTTGTGTAAAGGTCAAATTTTTGTACATGTCTGTAGGTCTTAAACAAATACCCCAGTAAACTGAGAAATGGTAATCCCTTCCTTCTCCATCTCCTGCCCTCCTTCACTCTATCCTCCCTCCTCTCTCCTGTTGTCTTTTCCTCCTTCCCTCATCCACCCTTAGACGGTTGGTATCACTCTCCGTAGCCTGATCCAAAGTGTCGACGAGATCCTGCCCTCTCTTCACAGCTCCATTACAACAGAGGTAGGCCTCACTTCTCTCTCTTTGTATGAGCTATTATCTGTCTTCTTTATTTGTGACAGTGGACATAAATGCAGTCAACAGATATACTGTGGTTACTTAATTGGAGATGGTACCTGCTAGTTCAAAGTTAAATGCTGAAATTTTCAAATCCAGTATCCTGCTCAGCTGAAGTTACTTACCAAAAAGAATTTCTTAATAACCTGGATAAACTGAACTTAAACCACACTGCTTAATGTGATCCTCTCTCCTCTCTGCCTCAGATTGAGGGCACTAAGAAATTGCTAAACAAGGATTTAGGGGAGCTGATCAACAAGATGCGACTGGCCCAGCAGAACTCCGTAACATCGCTGAAGGAGGAATGTCAGCGGCAGATGCTGGCGGCCGCTCACACCCTGGCACTGGATTCCAAAAACCTGTTGGACGCTGTGGACCAGGCTCGAGTCAGGGCCAACCTGGCCAAGCCCAAACCTATCTCACAAGAAGCAGAGCATCCTGGGGAATGAAATCCCCTGTTGATCAAATGGACTTTAAAAAAAGGACATGAAATTTGGGTCGAATTATAAGCGGATGAGTTACTGTTTTCATGCCAATGACAAGATGTGATAATATATTTGTTTTTTCTCCTAAAAAATAAAATCATGTTAACTTGAAGGGGACCTATTATGCTTTTCCTTATTTTCCGTGAAATATATATAATGTTACAGTATCAAGTGTTTATATTAAACATGGCCAAAGTTTCAAAGAATGAGGTAAATGAGCTTTCTCAATACGTTTTATTTATTTATTTATTTTTTTAGAAAATTTGGCTACAAGCTGATGTCAAATCGTGACAGATTTCTTTTTGGTCATCTGCTCCAGGCATGCTATTGCGAGCGTTTAAATCACATACATTACTACATGCGAATGCCAGGGAAATGTAATCGTTGCAGATGCTGTTAATTTTCCCCGATTTCAGATCACATTCCCGCTGGAGCATGTCCGGTTTATGGATATAGAAGCTTTAATTGGTGATTTTTCACAGTGGAGAGTGCTGCTGTACTCCATTCCCCCAGCTGTAAATACACCGCTACATGTAGCTACATGTAGCTACATGCTAACGTCAGGGAAACGTATAATCTTGGTTCCTAATGTTGTTAATTTCTCCCTGATATTGGATTATATTTCTGCCGTAACATGTTCAGTTGTGAAGATTTTGGTTTACAAGCTTTTATTGGTGATTTTTCACAGTGAAAAGTGCTGCTATTCTCAATTACAGTTGTTCCCCCGGCTTGAAAGACAGTGCAGAGCCACCGAGATATGGAAGACTCAGAAACGTGGACCAGCCAGAGCAGACTGGGCTTAGTCAGGAGGAGGCGCTAAAAAGGAATGTTTCAGACAGGGGGTGAATACAGGTGTTCCAGTACAGACAATATGGGAAAAAAGAGCTTTTTGAACATTAAAGCATATAAAGACAAACCTAAAAGTGAGCATAATAGGTCCCCTTTATAATGAGCACGCCTTGAAGCTGAACAAATCAAACTACCACATTGTATCAAAGCAATAAAGTTTATATATATTTTCCTTTTTTTAAAAAAAATCTTTTTACTATTAAAGACATTCTGCACTTTTGTGTTCTTTTGTGTTGTAAGACAAGAAATGCTTTGAACAGGTCATGACTGCTTTTTCTGCACACAGTACGATTTAATTGCAGGTGAGACTTCTGTTCTTGCACCTTCAATAATGAGCTTGAACATAAGAGAAAACATTTCCAGTAGCTACAAGAACATGATGTGAGTGCTGGGAATGATGTGCCAACAGTTGCATCAATACCATGATCATGTCCTGGCAAAATCTGAGCCGAAGGTAGGTTTAAAAGTTGTGTTGATATCGGGGTGAGTCTGTTCATACGTATAAGGTGGGAGTCTCTCAGATGTAGAGAGTCATCAGACAGGTTCCTCGTGTTCTCTTTTGCCTCTGGTGAAAGCACAGTATAATGCAAATTACAGCCTTTAGCTCGACATACCATCCTTGTTGCAGGTTTCAACAGAGGCTGTGAGACCACAAAATGTCAAAGTGCCGGTGATGTAGACTCCACTGCAGATGTTACAGGGCCATATATACAGAACATGGTTATATAACACGGTTATCAAATAATCTGTTACATAACATGATTTTCTTTTTAACATAAGTAGCCCCAAGCACACCCAAAATGTTACTGTATGTAAAAACCTTAGATTCAGCACCTACCTAACACAACACACCAAGACAAATCAAAGGACTACTTCATTAAACACTCATACACTCATATTACATTCTAGTTTTCCACTTTTGAATACATTTAAAAGTTATGAAATAGACAGACAATACCCACAGCAGTCGAGCAATGGCTGCTGCTGATGTATGGCAGCACCACTTGGACAAACCACATACAGAACTGCAGTAGAGTGGAATACTAGAAGCAGTAATAATAATAATGGTAGTTTGTTAAGTTTATTTATGATTATGTGATTATTCATTTGTTAATGATTAATTTGGACGGTGGTGCATGATCGCCTGTGTAAGTACCGAATGCGTCCGAGCTGCCAGATTTGTCCGGGGTCCCGTGCTAACTGATGACATCACGCATTATGTTGGCTTCATGGCAGTCACAAATCCTGATTGGTTGTAGCCATGGTTGTGGTTGGAAGTTTGAGGAAATGGTTGTAACGTTAGAGAGTTTGAGGAGAGAAATAAAAATAATAAATCTAAAGTTTTCTCTTCAGCTGTATGCTGAATGAAGTATTTAAACATTAACCTGACAAGCGGCAAACATTAACAAGATCGGCTCGGTTCGGATTAGCCTTCTTTTAAGTTAGCATTAAGCTAACAGCTAGCAGCTAATAATAAAATGGCTAAAAAGAAGAGAAATGCATAAGAAACATAAGAAATTACTGTTAGATCGGCTCGTGGTCGGAGGGCAAATCAATGTACAATGTTTCACAAATATATGTATTTGACAGCATACAGGTATAGGCTCGTTCGAGATGAACTGCGCCTCACCTGGAAAGTACACAAGAGCACGTGGCCGCAGCGGGGAGCGGTGACAAAAAGCCGTGGTGAAGTCGGACAGTTTCCCGACAGTTTCCAGCAGCCTTCAGTCCATACAGGAAGTCACAGACACGCTTACATCCTGTCTGGAATGATGTCAATTCATTAAAAAAGTGATCAGACCCATATATCAGTTTGTTTTCAGTCTCCAGTTGTTTTAAGTATGATAGATTCATTTATTAAAATGCTTTGCAGGTGATCTGTAGTTTATGTTCATGGTTTACCCTCCATTTTACATGAATTCTCCTGTAAATCAGCATCATATCAGTTTGACCTGTCCCCTCAACTACAGGGGCTAAATAAACAGTGCTTGACTATAAGGTTAATATTTTCAGAGGAAAAAAATACAAGACAACAGCTTTCATTAAGGCTCAGTCAGATACAGTCAGGGCTTCACATCTGATGTTATTTTAAGAATCCTTACATCCCACTGACCACAAGTCTGTGTTGCTAAATACTTCAATAATTAAAAAGTCCAGTGTTAATATACAGTAGACTCTGTATCTAAAACGTCATCTTGTTGAGTTGACATCTAAGCCAATCAGCTGTTAGATCAGGTGAGAGCCAGGCGGTGCAGTCGGTGGAGAGCAACTGCAGCGCCTGGCTCTAAAAACTGCGGCCACCTCGCTTTCGCGGTTTTATCGCCGTCCACTTTTGTAATACGTCAGAGCAAGTCGGGATGAAGTCGGACACAAAACTAACCGGCATGCATTGTGCGCCCATTGCCGGTGATCGAATCTGCGCAGGCCTGGCTCATCTCAAATGAACCTATTGCTCCAAGGGTCAGTGCAGCCAGTGTTCAGGGTCCCAAAACAAAGAAAGAAATAACATAAAGTTAGTTACAATTACATGCTGTTATGTTTATTTATTTTTCATACTGTATACAGATAGCCTACACATAAATATAGTGTATGATACACTAACCCTGGATTTGTGAAACACTGTACATTGATTTGTGAGACACCCTCCGACCACGAGCTGATCTAACAGTAATTTCTTATGTTTCTTATGCATTTCCAGAGATGGGGACTTGAGTCATTGTGACTTGGACTCGAGTCGACTCGAGTCGCTGTTTTGATGACTTGTGACTTGACTTGACAAAAAATAAAAGACTTGAGACTTGACTCGGACTTGGAAGTTAAAGACTCGGGACTTGACTTGACTTGAGACACGATGACTTAAATGACTTGAGTGTTAGTCACATCATGTTTTATGTTGATTACCCGGTAGGAGCACAGGCTGAGAATGGTGGTCTCTCTACGTACCTTACGTGTTTATTGGAGAAACAGGCCCTCTTATATCAGATAGGCATCAACATGTCAGCGGGAGGGGTACCGAGAGTCATCGTCTTCGGCTTTCGGAATTACCATTATTACGGCAAAAGACGAACAGCACAGTGCAAGACATGCGACATAAACATCTCGGACAGCCAGGCGACAACTTCAAACTTTGTTCGTCATTTGAAGAGCCATTCTGCCCAGTAAGTGCTCGTCAATTAGCTAATATTATCTGGTTAGTCGGTAGTAAGCTAACGTTAGCTTGATACGATACAGGGGTGGGGTGGGGTGGTGTGTCAGTTTGGTGGAACTTGTTTTTTAATTTATTTGCTAACATTAACCCCAGAAAACGTGAGCGAACATTCCGACCGATTCATCACAAGACCGGCTGTACGTTTTATGAATGAGCAACACAGGGTTAAATGAGCTAAATGGGGGATTTTCGCTGCTGCCTTGGTTAGTGTGTGTGAGTGTGTGTGTGTGTGTGTGTGCGCGCGCGCACGCATGGGGGTCGTCCCTGCAAAGTAAACATTGCAGCAATGAAGTCAATGTTTACTGACAGTATATCAGTATATTATATCTTGTCTTTTCACTTTATTGAGATCAGATTCTGCAGGTAAAATTACAATAATAAGGTGACTTGACTTGGACTTGATTTGACCTATTACAGGACTTGACTTGACTTGACTTGACATAACCTGTGACTTGACTTGACTTGACTTGCCCAAGAAAAAATGACTTGGGACTTACTTGAGACTTGAAGGTTAAGACTTGAGACTTACTTATTAGCTGCTAGCTGTTAGCTTAATGCTAACTTAAAAGAAGGCTAATCCGAACCGAGCCGATCTCGTTAATGTTTGCCGCTTGTCATGTTAATGTTTTAATACTTCATTCAGCATACAGCTGAAGAGAAAACTTTAGATTTATTATTTTTATTTCTCTCCTCAAACTCTCTAACGCTACAACCATTTCCTCAAACTTCCAGCCACAACCTAGGCTACAACCAATCAGGATTTGTGACTGCCATAAAGCCAATCATAATGCGTGACGTCATCAGTTAGCACGGGACCCCGGACAAATCTGGCAGCCCGGACACATTCGGTACTTACACCTGTCTTAGCATGGGAAAAAATAATTGATATTTTCTATCAGTATAATGTGTTTGTTCAAAAATAGACTTCACATCACCTTTACACACAACGTTGTAAACAATCTCCTTTTGTCATGCACACTAAACTGCCTCTTTGCACCATGCCTGTCGTAAATTACTTGTGCCTGTATTCTCACACAGAAATAAAGGAAATATAAACATACCCTTAGCATAGTCCACTACTATACATCATTCAAAATATACAGAAATTGATGTGCAAACCTAAATACTATCAGAACGTATATGATATGTCTTATCAACACAGACATTTTTACCTAATATGAATATGTGCTTAAGTGGCTCTTACACTCAGTATATTGCAAAATCACTGCCTTGCTCTGAAACTATTTCTTCACTGGAGGTCCCTCCAAAAATCTCTCCTCTCATTCAGTCTGAAATGCTCACTAATCTCTTAAAATGACAAAAATCCCCTATCCCTAATACAGGTCTCCAATCTTATTCAAATTCCTTCGCCAGCCAGGATCTCACAAACAAGTTTTTAGCCCTATTCAAATAGATAGATTATAACAGATAAATGAGATATGAAACCATCCCATGTTACTTCGCCCACACTGTGTTGCCAGACTGGATTCCTCTCCTCACTACTTAGACTACCCACAGCATTCTGTGACAAGGCCTCAGTTGGTTTGAATGGGGCTGAGATTTCCTTTTCTTTTTTGTGTCCATCCAAACTTTTGCATGCTGATTCTAAGTTTCTTTCCATTACATAAATAGTCCTTCATTATCTGATTATACTGCTTGAAAATTCCTGTAGAAATCGTCACTGGTTTCATCAATGATTTGTCGTTAAACTTAGGAGCAACTACTATTTTTGGTAAGATTGATTGATTTCCATTTATCTAGGTTATTACACGTCCCACTGATAGGAGGCTCCAGGGTAGATCCAGAACATGCTGGAGGGATTGCACACCTCATCTAGCCTGGGAACACCTTGGGGTCGTCCCCCAGGAGGAGCTGGAAAGTGTTGCTGGGGAGAGGGACGTCTGGGGGCTTTGCTTGGCCTGCTACCCCTGCAACCCGACCCCGCATAAGTGGATGAAAATGGATGGATGGATGGATGGATGGGTCAGGGGTGTAGCCATCATTTCA